AGAGCGCCACGACAGAGTGCTAACCTTCGAGCGACGATTTTCCCTGATGCCGGCGTCAGCCGCCATCACGATCCAGGCACCATGGGCTCCTCCCCGACGCGCGGTCCCTGGTCCACCCGAGTCACTCGCAGTGACGAAAATGAGAGAGTAGGGGTCTAGTGACCAAATGGTTAACTTCTGCTCGCACGATCCCTTTAGGTACTACACACCTTGGCAAGCGTCAAGGCGTCTGACACAGACGGGGCAGGCAAAGCGGCGGCCAGGAGAGACGCGCTCCCAGCAACATCCGGGCGGCTCTCACGAGCCAGCCATTGCGCCAGTGCCGCGACAGTGCGGTGCGCCGAAATCTCGTCGGGCGTGAGGGGAGAGTCGGGGGTCGCCTTTCTCTTTCTGGTGAGCTGCATGACACTAAGCTGTTCCCTAATGTATTTTTCTTGGTCAACCGTAATGCGGTCCCCATGCTGGACCACTCGACGACCTGCATACTCAGACTCACCAAACTTCCACTTTCCGAACTGAAAACGCTGGCACATCGCCCGACGCAGAGGATCCATGATCCGGTCGACGCCGGCGATGATGAGGTCGTCGACCTCAATTAAAATCAAAGCGTCTAAGCGCCAGTGCTCGCCACGCTTAAGCCACAGGCACGGCTCCAGCAAAGACTTCGTGAAGCCCTGAGTTGACAGCCAGTCAGTCAGGGTCCGATGCCGCAGCAGAGGGGCGTCGTTGAGGCCGTATACCGGGGCCACCAGCTCGATAAGTGGATCAGAACCCAAGGTAGGCCCGTGACAGGGCTCCACGTACATGGCCCCCCGAGGCCTGCGGAGGCGATCGCTCTGACAGAACGCATTCTTCGCGTCGGCCACCTGGGGCCTCCACCTCATGGACGCGATTATCTGAAGAGCCACCATTATGCTTTCTGACTGGGGCGTGGGTGCGTACGCGGACAAAGACTCCCCGTCTGGGTCCTGATGTCCATGTACGCACCATCGGCTCTTGGCCATAGGCGCCGCCCCGACGCCATCCTGGGGCTTCAGCCGTCGCACCATTCTGGAAGAGAGAATCCGGTCAGGGAAACGCCTTCTAGCCAACCTGGACTCCTCAGAGCTCAAGACCCGAACGGCACCCGAGCTGAGTATCGCTTCCCACTCGGACCGATCTGGCTCGAGAAACTGCTGGCGTTCCGAATCCGACAGGTGCTCCCATGCGACCTCCGCCCCTCGAGGCTTGGACGGGGCTCCAGCGTGAGCCTTTCCAGAAAAATCTTCAAAGGCAAGACCGAAAAAGGAAAAGAGATCCACAGCACCAGGCACAGCGGACCATTCCGCCAGCTCCTGAAGAAGGGCCTCGTCTTGCCAGTCATCCTCGGACTCCTCCAAGTAGGCCAGGTAGGGGCCTTCCGAAGCGGGCCCCCGGGACGCGGATGCCGGGCCAGGGGAAAGAGGCGGGGCCCCACGAGTGCCCTCGAGCACCCGAGGAACCGGCCCGGTCGCCGAACCGGAGACTCGAGTCGCCCGAGGAGCGGACAGGCCCCTGGCCCCCAGGGGCCTAGAACGAACGAGAGGGCCCGGGAGGGCCGGAGCGGTAGAAGGTTCGCTCGGAGCGTCTCCAGTGGAGGCTTCCCGCTCGAGGATCATTCTGGCGACACGAGGCCCTTTGCCTAGATCCTCGGCTGGCGTCAGCCTGGGCACCACTCGCCTCTCGGCAGGCTGCTCCAGCCTCGGGACCTCAGCTTCGCGAGGGGGCTCGAGCCCCGAAGCCGAGGCACCAAGTGAAACTGGGCCGACAGCGACAGGTGCTGTCTCGGCAGGAGCGCGACTGGCTGATGCCTCGGAACTCACCAGACGACCCAGGGAGCCCTCGACCGTGGGGTTAAGTGTGTCTGCCTGACTCGAAAGCCGACGGGCCAATCCTGGAGCAGCCGGGGAAACGGGACCCTCCGGGGGCCCGGCATCCAAGGCCAGGTTCTCGAGGATGGAGATGGGACGACTGGCTCTCCGCCGCCGGGAGTATCGTGACGCTGCAGGGGGGGGGGCCCTCGGAGGCCACGTCGACGGCGCCAATCCGCCCCCCCGGGGACCTGACTTGCTCGCGAAGAGCGTCGAACCTCTCGGTATCCAACAACTCCGCCCCCAAAGCTTCTTGCCTGGTGGCGGGCCTTACTTGCTCCTCCGAACAAAGGAGACGAGTTCTCATCGCAACCCAAACGGTGCTTCCAGTCTGGTGGACTACGACGCCAGGGCCGGTCCACCTGTCACGCTGCAAGGAGTGGGATCTGTTGGCAGAGGTCACTCGACGCCAAACGTAGACCCACTCCCCAGGCTTAAAAATCTTGTCGGAGTGAAGGCGGGAGCGAGAGGCCTCAGACAGGCGAGACCGGGCATCCATGGCCGCGAGCGCCTTCTTGGCCTCCTCTCGGACCCGATGCCTTCGAGCAAACTCGGCAGCCGCTGAGTCGGAGTCGGGGCCCTCTCTCAAGACATCCTCACAGCCAATCAAATCAACCCCTTCGTCGCGCAGCAAAGCCCGCGGGACCCTAGGGCTACAACCGAAAACCAACTGGGGAAAAAACCGCCGCGATGATAGGTC